CAGATATAAAGGAATGGAATGCACCCGTATCAATCAACACATTGGCAACCGAGTTGCAAAACAAAAAGGTACCTCTCGCAACAGATGGAGCCGGTACTAGATCCTGCGCGGTAACAGCATACACACGCCCTGTAGGCCCCTGATCTACCTGCTCACCTCTCGGAGCAAAAGACTGCTGCACAGACTGGGACGACGAAGCTCCTTGATTGGCCCTCGAGGCCTGTACTAACTGTGCTGGCTGAAAAATCTGTGTCTGCCTAGAACCAGACACACCCGATATGGCACTCAACTGAGGGCAAAACCTCTTCAGGTACCTCGCCTGACCACACTGGTAACAAGAGAGCGGCTGGCCCCTGCCCTGACTTTGGCTTTGAGGTCGAGCCGAAGATGAAGCTGCTCTCTGCCCTCCTCCCCTCTGCGGGCAAACTGGAGCCATGTGGCCCAGCTGACCACACTTGTAACAAGTAATGTCTCCCTGACTGCCTCTCCCAGCACCTGCACTCGACACTGGAAAGGTCGATCTAGCAAACGCACCCTGGGACTGCTGAGGGTTAGAACCCCTCTGTCTCCTACCATCCCCCTGGCCATCCTGACTCCTCTTGGAGCCTCTCTGCCTCTCCTCCTCCTCATGTATGATAATCTCCATATGAGCTGCAGCATCCACAAGACGCCCATACTCCCGGATCATGGACACCGCAACTCTGGTCTTGAGGCCGTGCCTCAACTTTTTCTCAAATTCCAAACAACGGCGTTCCTCAGACGCCACTAACTCAGGAGCAAATCTCGACAAGCTAGTAAATGCGGCCTCAAACTCGGCCACTGGCATACTCAGCTGATTGAGCTGACAAAACTGGTCCCTCAGCTTCTCCCTAATAGCTGGAGACAAAAATTTCTCCTGGAAAGCATCTACAAAGGCATCCCATGTGCCACTAATACGACCCCTCATGAACTTCCACCACTGACCCGTATCTCCCTTCAACTGGAAAGACGCCAAGGTCACCTTCAAGGCCCCGTCTTCGATGCCAAGCATCTCAAACGTCTTCGTCATCTGCTCCAACCACTCATCAGCCTTAAGTGGCTCCTTAGGATCCCCAAAAAACTCATCCGGATTAGACCGGAAGAACTCCCTCTTCAGAAATAAAGGCCCTGCATCAGCAACATGGGCCTGGACCTGATTCTCAGCTTTGAGAATGTCCAAGGATTCCCTCAAAGCTCTTGCCATATCGCGGGCTAAGGCGCCCATAGCCTGCTGACCTACTGGCTCGGCTACATTGGCCTGGCCAACACCCTCCTGCTGCGCCAGAATGTCATCCGGTATAGGCATCTCCTGCCTCCTAGGTCTACCTCGCCTACCGCCATGTCCTCATCCTGACATCCTAATAAAGGTAACGAAGAACATTAGCACATTCATAAATGTGACGAAGCTATCTCACTCGCGTCCTAATACATGGACAACAGTAATTCATTCCACGTAAGCACATAATCACATAAGCACTTACGAATTTCATTTCCGGATAATGATAGTCCCGAGGCGTTACTAGAGTTCTGGTTAGAAACAACATTGATCAAGTGCTTTTCCAACAAGACTCACAGAAACCCAAGGACCCAATCAACATCCTAGAAAATAAATCCCATACTCAAGTAGTCACATAAACATGTTATCAAATAAACACATAATGTCATACATAAGTCTCTAACAAGCGAGACAAACCCATTGTGATACTAATCACTTCCCACGTACCCAACGTATTCAAACCCGGTACGCTCTGATACCAAGTTATAACGCCCTCAAAATAAACCCATAAATCATGCAATCTTAACATGCTTAGACATAAGAGAAGAAAGCGTAGTTTCATACATCAGAGTATTCCTTACAAAATTATTACATGTTGACATCAAAAGTAAATGCCCTACGGGCTTACAACTTTCCAAGCCAACACTTGGTTACAAAAAGGGGAGTATTAACTCAAAACACAAAATAATCAATTGGCTTGATTTACATGTAATACACAAACTAATCACAAAAAAAAAAAAAAAAAAAAAAAAAAAAAAAAAAAAAAAAAAAAAAAAAAAAACAAACAAACAAACAAAAGAGCCTTCAACTCCCACAACCATCCAAGCTAAGACCTCGGAGGCGGCATAATACCTGAACCTAAAAATGATGTCCCATATAGGGTGAGCCAACGCCCAGTAGAAATATGATAAACATAATATAAGCAATAACTAAAACATTAGCATTTGATAAATGTTTAACTCATATAAACCAATTTACAACACATTCCTGTTCCATGACAAATATGTCCATGTTTCATTCCATTATCCATTATTTATCCAATCCTCAATTCATAACCATGGCTCAGAACCTGGCCAAACAATTTAAATGAAATTACATCTCATATTAACAATACTTTCATTTCAAATGAGATAACAACTCATATTAAAACACTTCCATACTTCATATATGATACACAAATTTGCTGTATCAATGAAGTCCATCCCCTATCTCCTCCCAAATATCCAGTTTAGGAGTCCATCCCCTATCTCCTCCCAAACCGTGGACTACATCCTCTATCTCCTCCCACACAACACAATGTATATAAGCATTTATCATATACATGTTCAATCAATACACGAATTTGATGTATTATTCCAATCGTCATATTCAATGACATATTCAACCGATTAGTTTCAATTCACCTAATCATCATGCAGTGTCTACAACAATCAAGACTATCCTCCACCGATAGCCCAAAGCAATTATTTCTAAACAGATAATAAATGCATCAAACAGATAATTCATCAACATTTTCAAAGGTGAGTGATTAATGAATCCAACTCCACCATTCTACCTCATAATGAACCAATTTCATTATTTCCAACTCAATTTCATGTTTTCATAATAAATGTTATTAATTACACTAATGACCCAAATATACCCAAACATGGCATTTTCTCCCTTTTTCTCAATATTGACCCAAAGGTCCCATATATCATTAACAACATCAATAACCTTTTTTTCAGACCCAAAACACATATGTATGAATCACAAGAATGAAACCCCTCTTTTCAATATAACACATCTCAAACCCTAACTTCCCAAATCAAACCATTTATACAAAAAGCTCAACATCTTTGTTAAAACCCATAAAAATGAGTAGTTATCCCCACCTCGAAAGATGAGACCAAATGGAGATGATGAAGAAAACTCGAAGTGCTCCAAACCAAGAGATTTTCGGATCCAAAGATAGCCCAAGCCAAACTCCACCTTTTATACAAAGACACTAAGGAGGTAGATCACTCAAACTAGATCAAACCCTGGAGAGAAGTTGAAGTTTTAGAGTGAGGTGCTCTCCAATGGAGGTTTTGAAAAGTAAGAGAGAGAAAGAAAGTGTGAAAAGTGATTTAAAATCACCCAACTGCCCTCTGATATACGACTAGTCCGCTCGAGCGGAGAATAGGACGCTCGAGCGTCAAGCACAAAAATTGGACCAGCTCGAGCACCAAGACACAACTGCAAAACACACCCGCTCGAGCGCAAAGGGAAACCCGCTCGAGCGTAGATTACCCTCTTCCAGTATTTTTACAAACATTGAACACCCGCTCGAGCGCAAAAAGGCCCGCTCGAGCGCGACCCGCTCAAGCGTAAGGAACTCCGCTCGAGCGTGAAAAACAAACCTGCAGTACTTTTGCAGAGGCACAAAATGCTGAAAGTGTGCAAACTCTGCTCGAGCGCAAAGGGACCCGCTCGAGCGGATCACCAAAAACCTAGGCAACAACACTTGAGACCAAAACTCAACCAACCTGTTCGAAACACGCCCAAAACAATTCTAAACTCAATTTCCAAGAGTTAAAGGATGGAAACGCAACACAGACAACAACCATCAACCACGGAACCGAGTCCGGAACACAGTTAAACAGTAAAGGAAAAACCGGGATCGCTATAAGTCATGAAACAACAATTTAATTTACCAACAGTTCAGTGTAGGGGAACATCTATAAAAATATGTAGCATGAAACTACTCACCTGAAAACGAAATAATATAATCCTCGAATAAAGTATGAAAGTCCAATTAGTGCCCTGAACCAAATATGAAAACTGCGCGTCATTACTAATTTAAAAATACTAAAGAATAAGAATTAAGTAATCCCAAACTAAAGCGCACTGACACGACTCAACCCAACTCACCGTTACTCTTACATATTACCTAAGTTCATGTTCTTCAAGGTCTAAAATCACCCAAGACATGGGTTCAAATCGAAACTTAATTAAAAGTAACTTTAAGATAAAACAGAATTTTAAACTAGTTTTCCCAATCTATTCGCTAACTTTGAAAATTAAAAACCCACTCTACGTTGTTCGAAAAATTCTAAAACCCTCCAGATATCGACTAATATATCCTAAGTTTCAAACCCAATTGGTTTCACTTGATTTTCTTATCGAAATAATTATCTACAATTAATTATATCTAAACAGGTTGTTTTCTGCAGCACTTTAAAGAACTTAATGGTTCTCTTAGTATACATGAGCAATCAATGCAAGGCCAAAAATGTACAAAACTAGAATCGTAACCGGTTCTAATGACGCTGATTTGATAATTTTTGGATTTATAACCAAAGAGAGCAACACTCCCGAACTTACTGTTTAAAACCAGTTTTCTGGACAGATTTAAACACATCAGTTTATATGGATTTTGACTCTCAAAAATTATGAGAAACTTCAGATATGAAATTCAATATGTAATTAATCTACTATAAAAATTTCAGTTCAAAATTCATCCGTTTGATATGATTTCTTGATTTTTAAAATCTATGATTCTGCACAGAATTTTTTTCCTTGAATAATACCCATTCTTTATACATGAATGTTTGAACCTTAAACATTATATCTAGACCTTTAGTAACAATACCAAACAGGAGCACCAGTGCCCTGACAACACAACACACAAAAGATAAAGCCACATCTCTTCCACAATGAGATTCATGCAACCACACAAACGGTGAGTAGCGAGTGACGAAGGCTAGCAGTGGCAACAGCGGTGACGAGGATTTCAGCTAATTGACGTTCATTGATCTCCGACAACGACACTATCTACTCTTTCCGTTCATTCTTCGATTGATCTCCTCTTCTCCTTTTCTCTATATCTGAAACCTTCTCTGGGACTCTATATTTTGTAAATTGTAATCTTCTTTAATTCGCCAAAAAAATTAGGGTTTCTTTTGTTTGTAAATTAAGACGGTGTAAAGCATGATTAGATTCACAATCAGAAGAAATTGCCAAAGCAAATACACAAATCACTCACCCAGCAATCCATGAAATACACAAATCACTCACCCAGCAATCCATCAAGTTCCTAATCGGCAGAAGGTAAGTATCAAAAAAACTCTCTCTATTTATATTTGTATCCTTTTGTTTTCGTTATTTTAATGGATTTAAAACTAATATGGGTGAGAATATTTTGGTATTTTTGATGGGTTTATGATTAATTTTGTTGGGTTTAATTCACATAAATGCTTTTTAACTCTTGGTTTTTTTAGTGGGTTTATGTTTTTTGTGCTAGTTTTGAATGTTGAGGCAGATGGTGTTTTTTTTCAACTCTGGCAATTTTATTCTGTTATAAGGAAGATGGTGTTCCCAGGAGAAAGCAGTATAAGGTGGTGATTTAGTATAATCCCTCTCCCAGTATAAGGTGGTGATTTAGCATAAGATGGTCCCTCTCCTAGTTTGTCTGTTATAAGGTGTATATTGGATGGTGTTCCCCAGAATTAGACCAATTCCTGCAATGTAGCTTCATTTACATTTTGCATTTTTTTGAGTAACAATTTATGTCTATATTAGCTTAGTAAGCAAATGCTATTTCCTTTGTTATTGAGTAATACTGGTATTAGTTTTTGGAACTTGGTTGCCTCTTATTGCATTTTTATAATTTTCAGCCCTTAAACTCTGGTATTGGGCATTGTTAAGCTAATTTCAAGAGAATCAATACGCACCTCTATATTTTGTTCATATGATTACTTAGTGGAGAAATTTTTTGACCTTGAATTCTCGTCCACCACTAATCAGAGTTTTTCTCTCTATTTACTCAATTACATTAGTGGGTTTAAACATCACCTAAGTATTGTGTTAAGCTAATGAACCTAACTCTGTGTGGCTGGTGAAAAATAATTCCTCTACTAAACCCAAATAATTTGTATGAGGTCTTCATCATGCTACTGTTGTTGTGAAGGGTCTCTCACAGAAGACAACTGAGGAAGATTTATACCAGATCATTGTACTTTTCTACTCAATATTTTTAATTACTGCATTTGTTAATTCCTGTAGTTTACCACATTGGCTACATCTTATTATTTTTACCATCAATAGGCGGAATGGGGACCACTTCGCCATGTCTGCGTGGAGTTATCCGAAATAGTTTAATATAAAGGTTTTGTTGTGTTGTGTTGACTTAGGCAGTTGAATTATATTTTACATTAAGTATGATGTTCTAATTCAGTGTTGACCATGACATGTTTTTTATATGACAATTTTCCAGGTTGACTTGCAAAATGATGTATCCGTTTTTATTTTTATTTTTATTTTTATTTTCCATTTTTATATATATTATTTTTATATCATTATTTTTATTTTTATGTCCCCCACCCCTAATTGAAAGCTGAAAACTCATTGCACTATTCTTTTATTTTGCAGGTTGATTGCCTTCAGGTAGATGGTGTCTTACAGAAGGAATCTCGTATATTGTGCATCTACTAGGTATTCTTATAGATGGAATTGAAGTTCATATTTATGTTAGACAGGTCTTTAATATATTGCTCTGGTTTCAAAAAGCTTCTCTATAGTGGTAATAGGGGGGAAAGGTTCTATTACTCCACTACGAGGAATTGCATTGTGAAATCTATTCTCTTATTCCCTCTAGCTTGTTTCATCTGGTACTACTTTATGGTCTTTCATTTCAACCTTCATAGTCCAAAATAAAGGGGGTGTTTGGGAACCAAAAGTTGTGGCTAAAATAGCCTCCAATACAAAAAAAGTCTTTTGGCCCCACTCTAACCCATTGATTTAAAAATAAAATAAAATATAGCACTTCTTTTTTTTTTTTTTGGATGAATTGTATTCACTATCCAATCAGTGGATAGGTAAGCATTTTGATTTGTTATTTTATATTTATTAGTGATGTTTATTCTTTTTGATGTTTTGTGTTCATTTTTGTTAGAGATTATTTTAGTATGTCTTACATTTCTGGAGCAGTTTCAGTTTAGAATTAATAGTTTACTCTTGTCTATCTTTGAAAATTGAAGTTTCATATATGCCTTGGTCTTGTCTTTGGTTACAAGTTGTCTGTTGTGGAGGAACTTCAGTTGTCTACCACCTTTAAAAATAACAGATAGTTCTATTTGATAATTGGGTGTTTCTACGGTACTTCAAGCATTGCTTAAAGATTGCTAGAAGAGGGTCATGCACATGGTAGCTGCCTTTGATGTTGTCTTTTTTAATTTTTAGTGATGTTCATCAATTACTTCTTGTTTCTTTTTTTAAAATTGTTTTAATGCTTTTATAATCGTAGTAGATTATGAAGATGGTTCTCATCACTGGGGTTTGTTGACAGGTGGGTGATCAGAATAGGGGTTATCTGTTGGAGCTTATGTTGACAAAGCTTCGTTGTGCAGCTGGTGAAGGCAATATACAATCATCTAGTGGAGGAAGTTCAGATACAAGCAGTGGGAAAACTGATCCTTCTCATGGTCTCCAAATTGTTGGTATGACTGCAACCTTGCCAAGTGTGGCTGCTGTTGCTGATTGGCTTCGAGTAAGTGTATAAAATCACATCTCCAAATAATCTTAATTGATTTGACTTAGGGTAAGAGGTGCAAACAAAAAGTTCAATGTATTTGTTGAATTTACTATATCTTATTTGTTACATAGTATCCAAATCAAGTTGATTTAGTTGATTTGGTTTAATTTAACATTAGATCCGTTGTGCCAATTTTGTATGGTGCTGAATCTTAGGACAATGAAGTTATGGGAAGTGGATTTGGTCATAAATGCATTGAAAAGTCAGTCTTAAGAGCATCAGTATCAAACTAGCTAAAATCACTTTTTAGCTAAATTAGTGATACTGTTCATCAAAAATGGACTGCATAGTCTCACCTCTCTCTCTTGCTAATATACGAGCGCTACAGTACCTCTCTGGTAGGTTCATTTTTTATGTCCCACGTGTTGTATAAGTATTTCATTTTTTATGTTCATACATTAACTGTACAGTGGCAATTCTTGTTCGTCTCTTCTTCTTTATTCCTGGTAGGTTCTGTATCTATCAGAATAATATGAATTTACTGTTGGGCAATTATTCTGAAATTAGTTGGTACCATGTTTTTACAAGAACTTGCTCTGGGATTTTTTGAAATTGGTCCTTGTAAATGTGTTTTGTGACTACTTTGATCCTTATTATATAATTTCATTATTCTTGTTGGTACGTGTTGGTCAACTTGAATCTGAAGAGATGTAGGATTGGTTAAGTGACCTCAATGGATGGCAAAAATCAGTATTTCTTTCCAGAAACTTCATGATAGGTTTCTGTCATTTTCCCTTTACAAAGGAAGTAGAGAAATGAAAACAAGCTATGAAACAGGATGAAATAGTTGGTTGTGTTTGTATTTCTCTACCTCTATGTTGGGTCTTCTAATTTCTGCATTAAATCAATCTGAAGAAACAGTTTAACAGATCCTGTTTTGGCTAGTCCTTGTTTGTAGGTGAACTTGAATTGCCTTTTGTAAGTCTACTACTGGTGATTTTGGCTCCTTATCAACTTATGAACCTAAGGTAAGTAATTGCGTAGTACTAGATAGTGGAGACTTGTTTTTTTTCTTTTTCTTTTTCTCCATCTTCTTTGGATATAAAAATGTATCTTTGCATTCTAAGCTAAATTAGTTGGTACCATACACACTACCATCAGAAGATCAGGTATAAAATGTGTCTTTGCATTCTAAGCTAATAATAACCATACATTAACTGTACACAGCCAAATATGATAGAGGCTAATTCCATAATTAGAAAAAGACAAAGGATTTTCCATTGCTAGCACGAAACTTGACACACACGACTTCCTAGGCACAAGAGACTTATGGAAGAAGACGGGACTCGAATCGGGTTCCCGGTTTGGGAGCTAGGGTCGGATTTCACTTTAGGCAAACTAGTTTCTCAAGAAACTTAGAATTGGAGGTGTTAACGTCCCAAAATCATCAAACGGCGTCAGATTAGCACGAAACTTGGCACACAAGACCGCCTTGACACGAGAGACTTGTAGCAGAAGACGGGACTCGAATCGGGTTCCCAATTTGGGAGTTAGAGCCGGATTTCACTTTAGGTAAACTAGTTCTTTAAAAAACTTAGAATTCAAGGTGTTAACGCTTCAAAATCACCAAACGGCGTCGGATTAGTACGAAACTTGGCACACACGACCGCCTTGGCACGAGAGACTTGTGAGAGAAGACAGGACTCAAATCAGGTTCCTGGTTTGGGAGTTAGAGTCGGATTTCGGTCTAGGCACAATTATTTACTTAATTATCTTTCTAATTGTATAGTAGTTAAATTTTTATGTTTTTTTTGTAATTAACATATTAACACATAATTATATTGTCATTAATTATTTTTATTTTTTTTTCTAGATATATTCGGAGTAGAAGTTTGCTTCTTGTGGATTTCATGCCTGTGAAGAATGCCACTAATTTTTGTTTTTGTACCACAGAGAATGCTGAGGAAAACTTTTAATTTTGATTTATGTTATTTTGAATTATGAATAACATTATGTATTTAAATATTATATATGTATTATGGAATATTATGTACTGGGTGAATTTTGTTGATGCATAGTTATGAATGTAAGAATATGTTTATTATGGAGAAATTATTATTTCTATATAGGAATTTTTATATTATTATGCAATTATTGATTTTTTTTAAAATTATTTTTCATTGAATATAGGTAATTTTAATATTTTTAATTAATTTACAATAAGTTTTTTTTTTTTTTTTTTTAAAGTTTTTTTCCCCATATAATTTATAATCAGAAGCTACTGCAAATTGTTTGACAAAGAATCCCAAAATCCCATTTAAAGCTGCAAAACTGGAATTGCCTCACTTCCCACTACATTACAAGCTGCAAAATTGAATGCCGTGGCAAAAAAAAAAAAAAAATTTGCGACGGTAATTTTTACCGTCTCAAATTATACTTTTGGCGACGGTAAAATAGTACTGTGGCAAAAAGGTCGCTATTTTTATACATTATTGGCAACAGTAAAATGCCGTCGCTAAAAGTTTTTTGAGACGGCATAAAATGCCGGCGCAAAAAATCAAAATTTTTGTAGTGATTGTCAAATTTGATAAAAGTTTAACAAGACAGTACACAAATTTCCTATTGTCACATTTTAAGAAGAATATATTTGGTAAAAGTTTAATAAGATAATAGTGCACACATTAGAATGATGTCACATTTTAATGGTGTACAAATGAAACATGCTCACATTTAAAATCTTTATGAAATATAAGTGAAAGGATCTCATGGTGTATCCTTCCAAATTTAATAAGACTTGATAGTTTACAAGAAAATTCATGAGATTTTCTAGTACATATTTTTCTAAAATGAGACTTCTGGGTAAATTTTCCTAAACTTCATCAATTTTAATAATTTTAAAGTAACAAATTTTTTCATGAATTTATACATATTTTGTGAAGATCACACTGATTTGCAATTTTCTCTAAAATTTTAAATTACTGTTACATTTTATGGATTATTTGGGCTAGTTTTGGGACGTTTGTTAAAAATTGATTTGTTTTATATTTTTTTTTCAAAAAAATGTGTAAAAAAGTAGAAAGATGATGCGACCCAAAATAAATTAAAAACCAAAAGTTAGCTTTTAGCCATATTCCCAAATGAGCGGTTAGTCCCATAAATATTCTTATGAACATATTAGTCTCATCTTACATTAAAACTTTTCAAATGAAACATATTCGTATTTAGAAATATAATAAAATAATAATACATATATTATAATGATGTCCCGCTGTCAAATTTGATAAAAGTTTAATAAGACAGTACACAAATTTCCTATTGTCACGTTTTAAGAAGAATACATTTGGTAAAAGTTTAATAAGATAATAGTGCATATATTAGAATGATGTCACATTTTAATAATGTATAAATGAAAAATGGTCACATTTAAAATCTTTATGAAATATAAGTGAATGGATCTCATGGTGTATCCTTCCAAATTTAATAAGACTTAATAGTGTACAAGAAAATTCTTGTGACTTTCCCGTACATGTTTTTCTAAGATGACACTTCTAGGTAAATTTTCCTAAACTTTATCAATTTTAATAATTTTAAAGTTACAAATTTTTTCATGAATTTATACATATTTTGTGAAGATCACACTGATTTGCAATTTCTCTGAAATTTTAAATTAGTGGTACATTTTATGGATTATTTGGGCTTGTTTTGGGAAGTTTGTTAAAAATTGATTTATTCATTTATTTATTTTGAAAAAAATGTGTAAACAAATAGAGAGATGATTTGACCCAAAACAAATTAAAAACCAAAATTTAGGTTTTAGCTATCTTCTCAAAAGAGCCCTTACTCCCATAAATATTCTCATGAACATATAAGTCTCATCTCACATTAAAAATTTTCAAATGAAACATATCCGCATTTAGAAACGTAATAAAATAATAATACACATATTATAATGATGTCCCATTGTCAAATTTGATAAAAGTTTAATAAGATAGTACACAAATTTCCTATTGTCACGTTTTAAGAAGAATACATTTGGTAAAAGTAGAATGATGTCACATTGTAATAGTGTATGTGCTCAAATTTAAAATCTTATGAAATATAAGTGAAAGGATCTCATGGTGTATCATTTCAAATTTAATAAGACTTAACAGTTTACAAGAAAATTCATGAGACTTTCTAGTACATATTTTTCTAAGATGAGACTTCTAGGTAAATTTTCCTAAACTTTATCAATTTTAATAATTTTAAAGTTACAATTTTTTTCATGAATTTATGCATATTTTGTGAAGATCACACGGATTTGCAATTTTCTCTAAAATTTTAAATTAGTGGTACATTTTATGGATTATTTTGGGCTTGTTTTGGGAAGTTTGTTAAAAATTTATTTATTTATTTTTTTTGAAAAAAATGTGTAAAAAAGTAGAGAGATGATTTGACCCAAAACAAGTTAAAAACCAAAATTTAGGTTTTAGCCATCTTCCCAAAAGAGCCCTTAGTCCCATAAATATTCTCATGAACATATAAGTTTCATGTCACATTAAAATTTTTCAAATAAAACATATCCGCATTTAGAAACGTAATAAAATAATAATACACATATTATAATGATGTCCCATTGTCAAATTTGATAAAAGTTTAATAAGACAGTACACAAATTTCCTATTGTCACGTTTTAAGAAGAATACATTTGATAAAAGTTTAATAAGATAATAGTGCACACATTAGAATGATGTCACATTTTAATAGTGTATAAATGAAACATGCTCACATTTAAAATCTTTATGAAATATAAGTGAAAGGATCTCATGGTGTATCCTTCCAAATTTAATAAGACTTAATAGTACAAGAAAATTCATGAGACTTTCTAGTACATATTTTTTCTGAGATGAGGCTTCTAGATAAATTTTCCTAAACTTTATCAATTTTATTAATTTTAAAGTTACAAATTTTTTCATGAATTTATAAATATTTTGTGAAGATCACACTAATTTGCAATTTTCTCTAAAATTTATCCTCTTAGCAGGATAGATAGATTATGTAGGATTATTATTGAAAGAGAGACATATAAGGTTTCGTTGGGCAATATGGGTTTTAGTAAAAAAAATGACTATAAATTGTTAAATTACACCTTTTGTTGTTTACACTTATTTTTATATAAAAAGTCAAAATATTAACTAAAATAATCAATTCTTAAACGTGAATGAGTTTCTTACTGGATCAAAGACTTCTCTATTGCAATAAGTTGGTGTAATTTTTAAATTAACATTTGGATCAAAAAAATCAAAAAAGTATGTTTAATTAACAAATTTTCAAAATTATTTTTTTCTTTCTCCTCTCTTCTTCTCTTTTTTTTATTAATAAATTAATTAATCACTTTTTCTCTCTCATCTCTCTCTCCTCTCTCATTCTACACATCAATCAATCAAATTTTTTCTCATGTCTATCTATTCGACTACAATTTTTTTTTTAAAAACTATAAATTATTTCAAAACTCAGAATCAAATAAAATTTCAATTTTCAAAAACTTATATTTAAAAATATAACTCAAAATTCAAAACTCTTTTCAAAACTAAACCAAACGGAGCCTGTATGCTTGTGGAGAGACAGAGATAGAGGCTCTGTTTGGTTTAGTTTTGAAAGACAACTTTTGAAAAGGGTTTGCAAAATTTGAAAACTTGTTTAGTTGTATATTTTAAAAGGAAAATCCTTCGTAGCTCGAATCTCTCTGCCCCGAATAGCTCGACTGCCCAAAACGACATCGTTTTGGATATATATTTTTTTTCTTCCTCCTTCTATGTCTGAAACAGAGGACAGAAAGAGAAGAGAGAAGAGAGAAGAGAAAAGAAAAGGAAGAGAGAGAGAGAGAAGAGAGAGGAAAAGGGAATAGAGAGAGAAAAGGCCAATCGCCGCCTCCGATCTCCGATTCTTCTTCACTGCCCGGCCTCCGATCTCTGATCTCCGTCTCCGATCTCTGATCTCCGCCTTCGATCTGTGCATGATGATGATGTGTTGAAATTTTTTCAGATTTTTACATTTTTTTTTGGTTGATTTCTATGGCGGGTTTGTTTTTTGGTTGATCTTTATGTGTGATGATAATGATGTGTTTGGTTGATGATGATGCTCCTCTCTCTCTTTCTCCGCTGTGTTGATGATGATGTGTTGGGTGTGTTGGATGGGTTGATTTTTGGTTGATGATGATCTCTCTGCTCCTCTCTTCTTTTCTTCTTCCTTCTTCTTCTTTGTTCTTCACTCAATTATGGAAAGAACGAAAAAAAAAAAAAATCGTTTTGAATTCGGGCCAATTTCGAATTCGGATATTTCGAGCTACGTAGCAGAACTGATTTTAAAAATAGTTTTGTGATGATTTGTACTTTTTTTAGTTGAATATAGGTGTGAGAGAAAATTAATTGATTAATGTGTAGAATGTAAGAGAAAGAGAGATAAGAGAGATAAGAGAGAAAAAGTGATTGATTGATATTTGAAAGAGAGGGAGAAGAGACCAAATTTTTTTTTTTTTTTTTGAAAGATTGTAAACCAAACATGTTTTTAGATTTTTCAATCCCAAAGTTAATTTAAAAAGTAAACCAATCACTGCGGCGTATTTTAGGAAATGAATTTTTTTGGCTTATTGACTTATTATGAAAAAAACATGCAAAAAAATATAGCGGTGATGTAACCCAAATAAGCCAATAAACCAATAGGCTGCCTTTTTTTTTTTTTTTTCTATCTTCTCAAAAAAGGCCTGCCAAAGAGCGTGTTTGTGGAGAGAGAAAAGAATAATACTTGAGATATTAAAATTTATATTAAGAATTTTACCAAATGCCTCACATAAATGCGGATCCCACAAAAGGGTGGAACCCACACCTATATATGTGACACATTTGATAAAATTCTTAGTAGAAAATTTAGGACCTCTAGTATTTTTTGAGAGAAAATGGGGTGTGTACTAGCACATGGTCATGTAGTGCTCTTGAAATATTGTGATTGGTGGACGGAGTAGGATTTATTATGGGTTCATTTGGGTTGGTTTGATGTTAGGTGATAAAGAAGTAGTTTAGAACGTGACATTTGATAATTAGGGTTCGTTTGGGTACAATTTTCTTAGCCAGATTTTTTTTGGCTTTTTAGTTAATTTAGTCTAGTTAAATTAGCTTCGTTTGGAAAGAATTTTTTAGATTTTTTGACTTTTTTATTTTTCTATGATAAAAATATAAAATGATTATGGTTTAGATGTGACATTTCATCTTATTGGTTTATTTATGGTTCGTTTGGAAAGAATTTTTTTAAACTGATTTTTTGATTTTTTGACTAATTTAGCCTGGCTAAACTAGTTCTGTTTGGAAAGAATTTTTTGATTTATTTGAAAGAAAAAGTGAAATGATTATGATTTTGATGTGATATTTTATCTTATTGATTTATTTAGTTTATTTTGTCTTTTTATATTTTTTTCGTCCCAACCAAAACCCAACCCACTTGCCAAACGACAACTTAGCTTTCGTTTGGGATGTGGGTTGGTCTTTTAGTTTTTTTACCATTTTAGCCTTGGGTTAAAAAGTTTCGTTTAGGATAGGTTTTTTGACTTTTTTGACTTTTATTAGAGAAAAAATGAAATGATTATGGGTTACATGTGATATTTTATCTTATTCGACTAAAATGACCTATTTTGTCTCATATGATTATTTTAGCCCAAAATAATATCCCAAACAAAGCCTTTTAGTCTATTTTACCTTTTTATATATATATTTTTAATTCCAACCTAAACCGGGCATAGTAGGTATTGGTCTATTTTAGAAAGTAGGTTCAAAGTTGATTTTTTTTTTTAATTTTTTTTTTCGAAAAATATACACAAAAAAATAAAATAAATAAATAATAGAGAATTAATGTAAATAAAAAAAAACACTAAAAAGTAAAACTAGTCAAAATAGGCAATTTTCACATATAGTACTTAAAGATTTTTTAATAATTTAGAATAATATTAGTGATATAAAATATTTTATAAAAAAAATTAGCTAATACTGGCGATACCCACACCTATGGGAGTTTTTTTTTTTAATATTCAAAAAAAAAAAAATTAGAGAATTGACTCACTTTTTAAACTATTTAAGAAATTAACCTACTTTTTGAAATCGCATTTTCAAAATGTGATTTTGAAATTAAAATTGCATCTTAAACATGCAATTTCACCTTAAAATTGCTAGTTAAAAATGATGATTTCAATTGAAATCACATTTTCAACATGCGATTTCAAGGTGAAATTGCATGTTGAAAATGCAATTTTGAAATTATAATTGCATCTTGAACATGCAATTTCACCTTAAAATTGCTAGTCAAAAATGATGATTTCAATTGAAATCGCATTTTCAAAATGTGATTTCAAAAGCAGGTTAGTTTTCTAAATAGTTTAAAAAACGGGTCAATTCTCTAAATAGTTTCTTTTTTTTGGAATATTAAAAAAAAAATTAGAGAATTGACTCACTTTTCAAACTCTTTAGGAAACTAACCCACTTTTGAAATTGTATTTTGAACATGCACTTTCAAATTAAAATTACATTTTCAACATGAAATTTTAATTGGAAATTGCATGTTCAAAATGCGATTTTTAGTCTACATGGACATATTTCAAGTCTACATGAACAACGACTTGCTGATGTGACAAGTTGAAATTGCGTATTGAAATTGCAATTTCAATTATTTGATTGAAATTGCATTTCCAACATGCAATTTCAATATAAACTCACATTTTGAAAATGCGATTTCCAGTTCACAATCTTCTGTTGCGTTGACATGGGAGGTTGAAGTTGCATTTTTAATATGCAATTTCAATATAAACTCTCATTTTGAAAATGCGATTTCAAATGTTCACAAATACAAAATTCGTTCTAAAAATAACATTTAAAATTGAAATTCAAAGGTTTACACTACTACAAAAATGTTTAAAGATCACACTTAACAAAATTAAAACATGACACTTTTAATGAAAGTGTGATTAAAACAATTAAATTAATATTTTAATCACACCTAATTTAATTAAGTATGATAATATTTTTTTTATCACTTTTTAATTAAATGTGATTATATATTTTTTTTAATCACACATTCTAAATAACATGTGATTATATATATTTTTTAAATTTTATTTTTATAAAGAAAAAATTGACTTTGAAACTCCATCTCATTCTCTCTCTTCACTCTCATTCTCACGACACAGGTAACAAAACTTCCATTTCTCTCTCTCTATTTTTCTGAAATCTGGTTCTTCTCTGAGCTGATGAGTGAAATAGTTTTGAATTCCGTTTTGAGAGCAAGCCACGTCTCCTCTATTTTACATCAGACAAATTTCTGTCCCAAATATTACTCTGCTTTTCCTGAGATGAGAATGAGATATATGAAATTCTACAGACCAATCTCTTGAGTGACTTTTCTCATTCTCACCACCACATTTCCTCAACCAGATTGTTTGGCCAGATCTGCTCAACCTTCTATGTCTGGTTCTTTATGATGTTGTTTTTGCTAAACTCTAAATTTTTTGTTTCTTTCATACTTTGGGGTTTGAAGTAGCAAGGAAACTCCAAGTAATTTCTGCACACAAGCTCTATTGCAGATAGCAACAAAATCTGCTTTTAGTTAGTACACTTTCTTTATTCAGTTTTTAGTATTTCAAGTTGATGGGTTTCTTCAACTTCAAAGACTTATGAAATGGTTTATTAGGATGACTAGAAAGTAGAATTTTGATGTTCCATCGGGTTTATTTTTTTTCTTGTCAATTCTATTATACTGTTTTATATTTTATATGGTTTCATGTTGCTGAGTGCGTTCTTGTTTCTCCTGTTGAAGGGTGGCGCAGGTCAACCACAAAATCTTGGTGTGGGTTATGACGCTTTTAATCGGCAGCCGGATTTCTGCTCATCCCCATTTTAGAGTTGCTTGCATAATCAGTTGTGGATGTTAATGTAAATTGTGTAAATGTAAATTACCACTACCACCCACTCCACCTACCATCTCCACTACCACCCACTCCACCTACCACTTCCACTACACTACACCTACTACCACATTTTCTTCTATATATAGGAGTTGTAATACATAACAACACAATCAATCAATAATATCAATCATCAATACATATTTCATTCTCTCTATTTTTCCATACATCAAAATTAACAGTGGAAATTCTGGGAGGTTAGTAACTTAAAATTGGAATTAATTACTGACAATTCCTGCTATCATCCTAGCAGTTCATGTTTAAAATAATTTTATTTTGTTTTGAAAATCTATGTGAAAAATATCACCTTACCTATGTGAAATATATTTCTTCTTTTCCGTTTGGAGGACTTTCACATAGATTTTGATACTTTATGGTGCAAAATATGCATGTTTCGTCACTTTTTAATGTACATAACACATCAAATGCAAACATTGTTAAATTAAGTGTTTCCCTGGTTAGATTTTTGTAATTTATGTGGTTTATTTTTTGTCTGGTTCAACTAAATGCTTTGTTAGCAATTTTTGTCTTCTACTATGACATTCTTTTTTAAGAAATTGGAAAAGCATTTATGACAAATCACCTCGAGTAAACCATTTTTGCGGGCTGTGAATGTTTCGTCTTTAAATGTTAAGAATGCCATTTTGTAGTCTCATATTGTGGCTTTGATTTTATTAGAATCTTCCTTTTGATAGGCTGATATGAACCGAATCAGTAGGAAACAGTCAACACTTTACGTTGTGCAAGAGAGGTTTGAAAGGATAAACCAGCATCCAGTTATGTTTTAGCAACTATAGATGTCATATTATTTGGAATTTAAAAATGCTTGGGAGCACTAATTAGTGATGTGATGTTTTGGTCTTGGAGTTGTATTTTTTTTTTTTACTTTTTTAATGCATTAGTGCTATTAGTGGTGATGTTTTTAGTGGGATGAATCATTGTTGTTTGGAATTTTAATCATTTACTATTACTGTTGTCTGCAGAATTCAGGGAGTCACTCATTCTTCATTGGAATAACTGAAGTTCTTAATACAAATCTCTTGATAGAACTAAGAGCATCTCCAATGGTAGTAGGCATTTTACCTATCTAAATATTACTATAAAGTATGTATTTTATTTTACCTATCAACTGTTTTATGTTTTTACTCCAACCATGCTCTTTATTTTAGCTATTTATCAAAATACTATTAATTTTATAGAATGCCACGTCAACAACAAAGATGGAGGGAAATGATCCTAATGATTGAATACATTTTGCCTAGCGTTGAAGGCTAGCTACATGTAGCTAGTGAATATGAGTTGAGCCAAAATGCCTAATCATATGCCTAGTGCATTGGAATTGAAAAAAGTGAATCACACTAGGCATTTTAACTAACAAGTATTATATGCCTAGTGCATTGGAGATGCTCTAAGTGCTGATGACATAAAATATGTCAACCAAAGGTTAGTAGTTTACTCCTTGAGATTAATGCCTTCAGATAATGACATTAATTTTTGGATTTTTTAAATATTATTATTATAACCAAAAGCCATGCTTCTGACAATTCATGTATTTAAAAAATCTTAAAATTTAACTATGTAGAGCCAGCTACATGAACAGTATTAAGTAGTAAATAATAATACAAAAATAAAAATCCATATTCTGTTTTTTTTTTTAATCATTCCATTTTACTTAGGTTCATATTGTCTGCTATGTCATAGACCATCATAAACTCAACCTGCATTCTCTTTTTGGCATTCCTCTTTAGCTTGTACTACTGCATGCAACTATTTCAACCCTCTCTTATATAAATGCACTCATTGAAAGGTTCAACTCGATTTTGAAATTAGTGAAAAGTGTGTATTTTTCTTTTTCTTGTGCCCCATGTGCACTTTGTTAGCAATATCCTTTTAGTTATTATATAGAATAATTTCAGTTATTATTATATAGAATAATTTCAGTTATTATATTGAACAAAGTAAGGGCTCTAGCACGATGCGATTTATGCTCCATTTACATATTCTAGTAGAATCCTCTTATGCAATATTGTTAGCTAGTTAGTGTGTTTTTTTTCTTCCTTCGAATGGTCCTTGTTGTATCACATATCTCAATATTTTTGTAGGAGCCCTGGAAAAATTTTAAGCATTACTGTGCCAACTTTTGAAGCCCTCACTCAATTTGGGACTGCTACCATCATTACTAAAAATATTGGTGAAGTGGAAGCATCATACAGCCTTACGGCACCCCCAATGAACCTTTCATACAGCCTAACTGTATCTTTCATGTTCTTTCATGCTATAAAAATATTTCAGTATCTTCCATGCTGAGCCCTATTGCTTGCATGTTGAGTGAGTTTATTTCTCTAAGATGGATTCAGTAATAAGATTTCCTAGTTGGGTAAAATGTGAGGACTTGCTAGATTAATTGTATGCAGTACTAGATTTCGGAATTTCATTTTCAGGAACTATATTATTTCTTGATATTTTCATCTGGTAAATGGGAATAGTTAGTATAATGGAACAATTTTCACCTACAATGTGGAACAATTTGATTTAAAAATATATATATATATAGATTTATAGAGGAGTCAGATTGGCATTATTGAGGTTGTTTAAATGCTTCTATTTGAGAGTGACTGGATTTTTTCTTTTTCTTTTTCTTATTCTTATTCTTGTAGAATTGTAACATCTGTCAAGGATTGATTTAATTCATTGATTCTTAATTCACTTTCATTGAAGCCAATCAAACACCTAGTTCAGCTACTACAACATAAAAGTTGATTTATCTTTATCTTTTCAGTCTGATGTGAAAATCTTTTCTAAGACTAGAACAATCTTTACAAATAATTCATTTATTCATATATTTTTAGCGGTCTCTGAATTAATGTGTTTTTATTTTTCAAGTCAGAAATTGCTTGGAGAGATGCAAAATATGATCAAGGAATTCAAGAACTTTGTACTTTAAGTTTTTTCATTTTTTAATATATGTAATCATAGTTAAAAACCTTTTATTAATTCCTTTGTATATACTTTTGAATATTCAACTAATGATTATCCAAATTAATTGAACCATGTGTTGTATTTCAATATTAAATGTAATGTTATCAATCTTAAGTTATGTTGTATGTCGTATCATATTTTTTAATATAAAAATGTGTTATAACATTTGATGATGCAGTTATGATGTAAGGGGTTCCAGACAGAACGGGTCGGAATGATCCACGCTTCTCGAGCCGGTATTCGGGTGATCAAGCCCATCAGAGAACCTGCACAAGAGTTCAACGGGGAACGCGGAGTCCCCTAGCGAACTCTCTGACGAGCAAGTTAGAGAGAAGTGGAGTGTAGAGATGGAATAGAGATAGAAAAGCTTAACCTTCTACATGTTTTCGACGTCTGCTTATATCCTTTGGTAATCATTGCATTGTCTCTTTCGACTTGTCACCTTGGCCGAAAGTCTATGCTGTAGCTTACCTTGTTCAGGATGAGGGCGTGTTGTCCCGACGGAGAAGGGTTATTGCAACAAATACTGTGAGGGGGCCTCATTAATGGCGATATGCAGTGACAATAACTTTGCAGATCTTTGTCTACTGATGTGGCTTGTCCTTTTCTTGCCATGTGTCTTGATGTCATTGGTTCTAATTGCTACATGGGGCTTCGACAGTGCTGGGCTTCAGCGTTTGAGATATGTGTTGGGCCCTAAATGGTGGGCTCTAATCTTTATGGGCATACCCATGTCAACATTTATATTTTTATGAGTAAAATGAAGTAAATGATAAACATTACAATTGACATAGTTATAGTTTTATGTAGATAGTTGATTCAAAGAGTTGTAAATTAACATAGTTGTCACCAACGATGTGGAATTTCAAAAGAAATACATTAAGCCTCACATATTTCATATAATGATGCTAATCTCCCTTTTAGTAAAGTTAAATAGATCGAAACTAATGTAAATATTGTGTAAGTACAAAATAAATACCGTAAAATATGCAATTTTGTTTTAAAATGATGATAATATATTTTTTTTATCCATATAACAAAAAAAATTATTGATGAAAATTAAGTATTATTCAATTAAAAAACAAAAGGATGAAAATTAACTAGTGGTGATATAACACATTTTTGAATTCTTGCATCCAGACCTTGATCCCTGTTCTTTGGTTAGATATGCTATTTTTCAAGCCAAACTGCTCTTTAATGGTTCTACTATAGTCCTAAAGATAACAAATCAACTAATTACCATTCATTAATTTTATTTACCGTCTTAGAACAACGTTGAAATTGTCTTTTTAATGCTTTATATTGTTCTCTAGTGTTTGATTGCTAGCTGGTGAGGAGAATCATATTTTTCCTTGTAGGGCTCACATTTGCTGATGAGTGGGAAGTAACAAATAAACCTTTGAATTTCAATTATAAATGTTATTGTTAGAATGAGCTTTGCAATTGCGAAAATTTGAAATCGCATTTTCAAAATGAGAGTTTATATTGAAATTGCATGTTGAAAATACAACTTCAACTTGTCATGTCAATGCAACAGAAGATTGTCAACTTGAAATCGAATTTTCAAAATGCGAGTTTATATTGAAATGCAACAGAAGATTGTCAACTTGAAATCGAATTTTCAAAATGCGAGTTTATATTGAAATTGCATGTTGAAAATGCAATTTCAAGTAGTTGGAATTGCATTTTTAACATGTTGTGTGGGTGATTTTCTGACCACACCGCTCGCTTAGTAACCAGCTGGAGAGCACCGGCAGAATAGATGGCACCTGGCTAATCTGCAACAGCAAGAGAAGATTCCGGCAGTGGTTCGTCCACCCGGGGGCACTCCGACGATTAAGTCAGTATATCTCTCAAAGATAAATCAAGTGCTAAACTCACAAGCTTGAGTATCAAAAGCATACCTTAGACCCATGGCGGTGCCTCTCTTTTATAGCCAACATAAACCTAGTCCCCATAGAAGCCTAACTTATATGGACTCAGGATTACTGTTAATCTTGGACTCCCAGTAAGATTAGGATAAACTCTCTAAGAGTCTTATCTTAATACAAACTGAAGTCTTCTCTCATTCTAAGACTCTTGCCCCTCATCCGCTTATCTCGGATTCTGATATCTTCAGAGGTAACCTCGGCCTATCCGAGATGTCCTCGGCATAACAACCAGGATACGTGGCACCTCGGCTGACACGTCGGCGTCACCTTGGCCACGTGTTGGTACTCAGAAAATATATCCCCACAACTGCCCCTAGGTTCTATTACCTCGGCATTGTGAGGTGATGGAACCTACACTGTTCGTTCATTCGTGCCCCTCTGTTCGAGATCAAACTCGTCGACCTCAAAGTTCCCTGGACTTTACTGTCCACTTCTGTTAAGTATCAAGCTTCATGCTTTCCAAGCTGCTCGAGATCACACCTCCTAGCCGAGGTTCTTGTTCCATTAATTTGTAAACTCCAAGAGCTTTGCAACTGCTCCACTCACATTCTTCGGTGGGTTCTCGACTTCCAGTCATCTATTTGACTCCGGCGATCTTCATATCGGCGTTCATTTCTCTTGGTAGGTTCATAAACTCTTTTATTAAGCTCAATCTTTCATAACTCTTCTGAATCCGTTTACTTGCCCTTTGTTGTCTTCTATTTTCGTTTGTTTTCAAGTTTTGAATTGTTTGAACGCCTGGCACTGTTCTGTCCATATCCGCTTTCTGTTGCTAGCATTGTGTCTGGGTCATTACTTTCTTATTCTTCATATACTTACTTAGTGCCTGTGCACTTGGCTTTATTCTTGAACTTTGTCGTCTTCTTGACTCTGATTTTTCTCTTTTTTCATTCAATCCTCTGTTTTTTTCTCTTTCTAGCTCTTTTGCTTAAATCCGTCATTGTTCCAAGCTTTCAAGCTCTGCAACTGTTTTCGTTCCTCTCCTCCGGTGAAGCTTACGTCATTCTGTCATTTTCGCATCCGTCGTCAGACTTCGACAATTCTTATTCCGGCTTCCCTCTTTCTAGTAAGCCACTGTTCCTCCTGGTTTTATTTCTTGCTGCTTTCCAAGAAGCTCTGCTTCTTTGTTAATCACCATTGTTGTTTTACCCGTTGTTTCCAAATCATCTTCTTGAATACACACTGTTCACACATCTGTTGATTTCTGCCACTGTTCTTGGCTTAACACACCTGTGCAATCTTTTTGTCTTGATTTCCTGATAACTTCATCACCATTCTTGATTACGAATTACATTCTTGTTTCTGTTTTCTGTGTCTTTTTCCAGATTCTTGCTTTCAATCCTTGCCTTCAAACTCCGAGGTGCCAATCGCCGAGAAAAGCTTTGATCAAACTCTTCGGGAGATCGATACTGAGCTCGAGGCCGAGAAGGCTACTGAGAAGTCTTCCCAACTGTCTTCTATATCCTGCCATTGATGCTGAGTAGTTTTGTTTCCTTCTTTTATTCCTTGTACCTTGTACCTTATACTTTGTCCTTCTTTGTATGCTTTTAATCCGGCCGACGTGCCATTTTTGTAGTCTGAATAATTTATTTTTCAATATTCAGGCCGAAGTGCCTTCTTTCTTCTTTAAATGTATTTTTCTAATTTCTTCTTTTGAATGAATGTCTTCTTTTTTCTGCTCTTGTATGATTCTACACTTAGAATAATTTGCATGTCTTCAAAGTACACCTTGACTGTGCAATCTCTTCGGGTAAAATACCTCTGTCACAACTTCTAATCTTCCTCATCTCGGCCTTGTCCTAACACTTGAAAATGTTGTAACAAATATTCTCACAAGTGTTGCTTAGGACTTGTCACTTTCTCAATGTCTTCTATCAAGACTTCAGTTTTCCATATTTCAAGTTTTGACAACCGGGTAGTCTCGGCAAGTACGCAGATATTGCTTGAGCTTGACTTTAACTTGTAAATTTTTCTCAAAAATTTCAACAAGTGTTTTTAACCATCATCCTTTATCATAACCTCGGCTTAATTTCAGCTTGTAAATTTTTTTCGAAAATTTTAACAAGTGTTAAACCATCTTCCTTTCGATACGACCTCGGTTTAACTATAACTTGTAAATTCACACAGAATTTCAACAAGTGTTTAAATCAATCTTCTTCCGATACGACCTCGGTTTTACTTCAACTTGCAAATTCACACAGAATTTCAACAAGTGTTAAATAATGATTTCGACTTAACTTCAACTTGTAAATTGTCCACAAATTTCAACAAGTGTTAAACAATGATTTCGGTTTAACTTCAACTTGTAAATTCACACAGAATTTCAACAAGTGTTAAATATGACCTTGGTTTAACTTCAACTTGTAAATTCACACAGAATTTCAACAAGTGTTAAACATCAGCTCGGTTTAACTTCAACTTGTAAATTCACACAGAATTTCAATAAGTGTTAAATATCACATCGGTTTAACTTCAACTTGTAAATTCACACAGAATTTCAACAAGTGTTAAATATCACATTGATTTAACTTCAACTTGTAAATTCATACAGAATTTCAATAAGTATTAAACATCATCTCAATTTAACTTCAACTTGTAAATTCACACAGAATTTCAACAAGTGTTAAATATCATATCGGTTTAACTTCAACTTGTAAATTCACACAGAATTTCAACAAGTGTTAAACAATGATTTCGGCTTAACTTCAACTTGTAAATTGTCCACAAATTTCAACAAGTGTTAAACAATGATTTCGGTTTAACTTCAGCTTGTAAATTGTCCACAAATTTCAACAAGTGTTAAACAATGATTTCGGTTTAACTTAACTTGTAAATTGTCCACAAATTTCAACAAGTATTAAATAATGATTTCGGGTTAACTTAACTTGTAAATTGTCCACAAATTTCAACAAGTGGTAAACATCATATCGGTTTAACCAACTTGTAAATTGCTACAAATTTCAACAAGTGGTAAACATATTTTTCTTCTTTCTGCCCCCTGCATGGCTTCCACATACTCCTTTGCGAACCTTATAAAAGGTCTTCAACCTGGCTAGCTGCAGTCCAACCTTGTGTGTTTTCTTTTTTTATCTTCTGGGATCTGAGATCTGCTTACTGAGCTCTTCTCTTCTCGGACTTAAGTGCCGAGACCTTGTCTACTAGAATCTTGGACTCAGGTTGAGCTCTTCTCTTCTCAGACCTACTCATCTAGGCCGAGATCATGTATTCTAGGATCCGGGATCCAGGATTTGGAATCCAGGATCTGCTCACTTAGGATGAGTTCTTCTATACTTGAATGTTATCTCCTTAGGAGCGCTCATGCCCCCTGTCTTTACATTCCTTCTGGAAGGGTCTTCGTTCCTCCGCAGATATCTATCCTTCCATACCTAGAGGTCATCTTTGTTGTAGTATCCGCTTTGATCTGTTGTCTTTGGTGCGTCACCTTTCGGGCCGGCGTCTTTCACTCCGTGACTCTGGTCACGAGTTTCTGTGTTGCGGTCGTCCCCTTTAACGTTGAGGTTGATAGGTCTCCCACTCCCAGTAGGAGTGTTGTCTCCAATCTGATCCTTCTGTCCGTCATTGGCCATCTATTCTTCTTTCTTTCATTGGCCATCTATTCTTATTTCTTTCCCACAGACGGCGCCAAATTGTGTAGGTGATTTTCTGACCACACCGCCCGCTTAGTAACCAGCTGGAGAGCACCGGTAGAATAGATGACACCTGGCTGATTAGCAACAGAAAGAGAAGATTCCGGCAGTGGTTCGTCTACCCGGGGGCACTCCGACGATCAAGTCAGTATATCTCTCAAAGATAAATCAAGTGCTAAACTCACAAGCTTGAGTATCAAAAGCATACCTTAGACCCATGAGGGTGCCTCTCTTTTATAGCCAATATAAACCTAATCCCAATAGAAGCCTAACTTCTATGGACTCAGGATTACTGCTAATC